CGAGACGAGGTTGACATAGACGAGACGAATGGTGGTTGAGGACGGCTGGGCATGGGATGATCTCAGGGTCGTGGGTCGATCAATAATCGGGCGCCAATGTTGAGTTCGAAACAGGACGACTGACGACATATCCAGACATTACAACGGGAACAGGTTAGTGGGAACGACATTTATTATAGACGACGAGACAAGAGACCAAGACGAACGAAACGACTACATTGAAGAGTGAGGAAAGAGAGAGTGAGATCAAGTCTAAACGGCAAGATAAAGGGCCTGGGTAGCTATGGCAAATATGGGCGCGCAAGTAGCTACCCAGGCCAACGGAGCAAAAGGAGACAAAAGGTGCGTACGCAAGGGCATGCAGGCCAGCTAGAAATGTACGGGAGGTGGTACCTAACATACCACCCCTCCATGAAAAAATCCCGCGTCCTCGCGGAGAGAAAAAAAAAAGAGAGGAAAAGATTTTAAAAAAATGAACTGGAGGAGAAAACACACACACACACACACACATACTGCACGCGCGCATGGATCTCACGAAAGTGTGTACTAAAATGCACTCGTACAGATCATTCCTGTACTACTTATTGTGTGAAATAACAATTGGAGTTTGACGAGGAACGTGAATTACTAGTATTTTGCACGGCTAATACAGCCTAGTTACACTTTTGCTAAACATCCAAAAATTAGAGCGTGGCTCACCATGATCGGACCCCTAACTTGGTTATGTTTTACGAACACACGCGCGCGCACACACTACAAAAAATTCACGAAAATAAATTTGACGAAGAAGCATACAAAAAAAAGAAAGAGAGAAAGGTAGCTGACCTGCATGGCTTGAACGAGAATAGACGAGGTAAGGTTGGCGTAGGAGAGACGAAACTGACATGGACGAGACGAGGTTGACATAGACGAGACGAATGGTGGTTGAGGACGGCTGGGCATGGGATGATCTCAGGGTCATGGGTCGATCAATAATCGGGCGCCAATGTTGAGTTCGAAACAGGACGACTGACGACATATCCAGACATTACAACGGGAACAGGTTAGTGGGAACGACATTTATTATAGACGACGAGACAAGAGACCAAGACGAACGAAACGACTACATTGAAGAGTGAGGAAAGAGAGAGTGAGATCAAGTCTAAACGGCAAGATAAAGGGCCTGGGTAGCTATGGCAAATATGGGCGCGCAAGTAGCTACCCAGGCCAACGGAGCAAAAGGAGACAAAAGGTGCGTACGCAAGGGCATGCAGGCCAGCTAGAAATGTACGGGAGGTGGTACCTAACAGTATGAATGAGCATGCAAGAGAATATACATGTGTGCGTTGTGCTGAATAGGGTACATTTTTTGAATAAGTATAGTCAAATATACGGTTAAAAAAGAGTTCGCAGGATTGCCGTGGCTTACAGGTTATGACCGTTAAACCGACCGTTAGCTTAGCAGTTAACCGTTGGGCGTAAAACCGTGACCGTTTGAGCCCTAGTTTTCTTTTCGTGAGCCCCAGCATCAGCAGCGTCCTGTCCCGTGCTCCCTTTCTTGCTGATTCCAACGAACTTCGATCGCCCAAAGAGTCGAGGGCCAAACCTGCCTCCTCAGTCTCCTCAGAAAAACCAACTCCATGGCCAAGTCAAATTTTATGCGTATTGCCAGTCTTTTCAGCCACACAGATGACGGTGAGGACACTCCAGGCGATGGAGAGTAGACAGGCAGTGGAGAGGAGCAATCAGAGGTAGCTGACGATGCTATGTCGCCAAAGACGCCTGCGAAGCCATACCGAGATAAGAAACCTCGTTGAATAAATCACGCGCTAGCGCTATTCTACAAGAAAATTCATCCGAAAAACATTTTCGGCAAAGTGAGCTTTTTCCGAACAAACATGCCGAATCTTCGTGTGCATTTTCGACCTCGCTCCCGCGTGCCGAATCTTTTTGCCGAATTTTGGAATGCAAAACCTCACTAATGTCAGGGATCAGTTATTCCCAATGCAGAAGTCCTGTATTTTCACTTTTCGGCGCAACTAAAGCCAAGGCACAAATCACTGTACACTGATGTGCTTATAAAGGCTGGCGCTAAAGTAAAATGCCTGGATGGCACAGTGCATTACAAAATAATTATTAATTCATGACAACTTTGGGGTGCAATATCGGTTACTATGGCAACAAAGCGAATTTTCATGGCATTTTGAGCAATATTTTGAATTCTCTGGAAACAAATTTCTGAGGAGAAAAATTCGCACCATGTGGCCAGCCTTGGCGGTGAAGGGTGTCCGATTTTGGGCGAAAAATATTTGCCACCACTGGATATGTGTTGAGGAACACATCAAGCAAAGTCGTTTGCATCAGCCGGGCAGGTCGCCACTGGCACTTGGCCCATATGTCCTAGTGTTGATGTCGCTGATTGCTGGTGATGGTTGAATATAGACAAGAGGGGATACGTCTGTTTAGAAGAGTATCTCTTTGTCGTTGTTACTATAATCGAGTGGCACATTCGCACTACAATTCTACGAGTGCTAGTTTGAAATTACGTTACGAATTGTTACGTTGTACAGCAGGTGCGAAACAATTAATATTTACATACTCACCGGTTTTCGTTTCGGAGTCCCGCGCTGTGACTCAGCTAATTGCTATTTCGTTTGCCTTGTATTGTCTGACTAGGGGCGCTGTCACCCCGTCGGGTGCAAGCACCCTTGGACAGAAGCACTTCACTTCACGACAAGTGTTCATTTTCGTTTTCCTCTTCTGCTTCTGTTGCACAGTTTGAACTTTGAATGTGTGCTTTTTTCGTACTCTGCTCTCGATCGAACCATGCGCGCGGGTCGATCTCCATAATTTTATCTTCCGTTGCCATGACTGGCATTAGTACGCGTTCTGTACTCACTCGCTGCTTGGCGCGGCACGCTTGCAGCGCGTCTTTTTTCTGTTGCAACCCAGTGCTAGTGCAGTGCCTGCGTGCACGGTACGGGATTTGCGATGCCACATCAGCGTTGGTGTGTCGTTGTGTTTCGTTGTTGTTTTGTTCTTTGCTGAGTGTGGTCGTTAAAACTGAGAAAGAACGGGTCGTTGACAAGGCGTGGTTTCGATGTGCATGCCCTCCTGTCAACTCCAAAATATTGGTAGCAGAGGATGGTTTTCACGGAGCCATCATGGAGGTAAAACTAGAAGACCTCGCACGGAAAAAGCGAGAGCTGAAAACGGATTTCACAAATACGAGGAGAAATTTGACAGTGGAGTCAACGAATGAGGTGCCGAACCAAGATGACGTAAAGGCATGGAGAAGCCACTTGACGACAGTGTATAACGAGACCAAGAAGGTCATCATGGAGTACATGGAAGCGGTGGTGGACACTGACTCTAGGAGACATGCTGGTCTCCAGAAGCAGTACAAGCAGCTGGAAGGCCAGTATTCCGATGCCATGGAATTGGCCAGGAGTGTGCTCATCAGGAGCAGCAGAGCGAGCCTGGCAGCGTCGACCAGGCAGACTCCCAGTCCCAAGCAATCGCCACTGAGAGGGGCAACGCCTTTACTGGCGTCAGTACGAGAGGAAAGCAGAGAAATTCTAGATCTGCGTGCGGCGCTCCAAGATGCACCGTTTCTTGGTCGCCAGGACGATGCGCGGGTTATGTTGCCCAGGGCTGCAGACTATGGAGAACGGGTGAAAGTAGAGCCGGACAGTCGTGTTGTAATGTTCAGTGGTCAACGTGTGGGGGAACCTGCCGAACCCTTTCCGACCGTTGCCATGGCAACCGCGTCAGCACACGCGCCACCGCAAACGGATATGATCAACAGCAATGCATGCACCGCTTTATCTGCAGCAGCTGCAGAGTACCAGCCACGTAGTTCAGTGCTGCCAGCGTCATTTGCAACTATGACCACGGGCAGCAACGCTCCCGCTATAAATCAGGAACAAGGCTTCCTGATCCACGATCCTGCTGATCAAACACCTAGTATGATGTATGCAACGTATGGCAACAATAGTGCTAGGCCGCAGCAGGCATACATGTACCAACAACAACAACAGCAACCGCAGTGGAGTGCGAGCAATAGTGCAGTCGTGTACAACTCACCTGTGTCTACTGGACCGTCGCACACCATCTCTGCCAGAGCGTCACAGTACGGTGTGAGACCCAGCGCTGGCATGCAAGCACCCCAGACCGCAGTATTCGCCCCAGTTCCGACATATGTCGGAGGCACCGCAGCTCGACCTGCGCCACGGACTGCTCCAGCGGCAGCTGCACAGATCAACATCGCCAGCAAGTTGAAGCGGATCGAAATTCTGTATCCGGAGGTCTCAATTCTGAGTTTCAAAGTGTTCACCCAACGAAGCACTACTAACCACCTCTTGCTACTTACACATCAACAAATCATGTGAACATTCCTTATTGGAGGGTATAACGTCCCAATCCTTAAAAAATGCCAATAAACTGGCAACAATGTGTACACATGGTGCACTCGTGCATGCAGTGCAGGTCATTTTTTTGTAAGATACTGATAGTTCCCGGTTATAAGTCGAATCCCGGTTGTAAGTCGACCCCCACCCTTTCACCGTCTATTTTAAGTCGTAGAAGGTCGACTTACAACCGGAAAAATACGGTACCAGTCACTTTGACGGGCGGGGTCAAAAAATTAGTACTCGAAGGTGTCGCACGCGCTACATACACCTGTTTTCCAGTAGGGCTGTGTTAATACTGTTGTCACAGTTTGGATGCCTGCTGATGATGACTCCCATGACCTGAGTATGTTTTTGTCAGGGAGTGCTATTTTTACTGTTCCACTCCTTCGGCTAAAAGGGGGCTGGAAACATACAATTACATGTATGTGACCAGTGTACCACATGATGTGAGTTGTTGCCATCAATGGACCCATGGGAAACCCATGTACAGTTGCAAACTCTTGGGAGCTTCGTTTCACCTCGATGATAATGTTGCAAAGTATGGTACTGTTGTGAGCCTTGTCTTTCCGCACGGTGTCACGGAATTTCTTGTTTTTCTCTTTGTATTTT